TTCACTCAGAATCCCATCATCCGTATTCACAAAAATTAGCTGCATATAATAGTTTCATACACCGATTGCTAACAATTCCAATGAATGAACAGGACTACAACGAAGAAGTAATTACAAGAAAACATATAGCCGTATCAAATGGTTATCCAAGTAGTATTGTGGATAAACTCATCTACAAACATAAAAATAAAACAGGAACTAATAAACAGAACACTTTCATCTCTGCAAAATTTGGCACCTTTATGAGCAATAAATATAAAAATCTCATGGCAAAAACAAAATCACAGTTTCCTTTAAAACAGAAAACAAGCTTGGTTCATTGTTAAAGGAACGCAGCCCCACGATGATGCAATCTTTTGATAAAACTGGCGTTTACAAGATCAATTGCACCGTTCCTTTACAAAACGATTTAAAGAGCATATTCCAAAAGCGTCAACAGCCCACCAAACATCATCTTTTGCCGAACATTTAATATCCCAAGGCCACAATTATACCAACATTAGCAGTAATATGGACATTCTACATTTTTCTAAAGACAGATATAAACTTAACACATTGGAAGAGTTTGAGATATATAAGGCAGTAAAATTCGACCACCATAATGTACTAAATGACCAACAATTTTTCTCGTCTAATTTTATGTATGACACTGCCATCGGTTTACTGGAGAGGGGAGGTGTGATTGACAGGACGCAACCTGGGATGATAAGATAACGGACGTACACCATTGCACTGACCACCTGCAGTCTGGACTCAATCTCTGCCGGGTTAGCGTCGTCTGTTTTCTTAACTGATCAGTTACCATAAATGTCTCGTATTCGTGTTTGTGTCGTGTTTAAATGTTTATTTATTTTCGTGTAAATATGACGCTCTTCGTATGAAGAAAGAAAACTGTCCTTGTGCAGCCTGATGATGGTGTCACACAGACACCGAAACTAGTTGTGATAACAACAAAATTGGATTGCTTTATAGCAGGTATTTAAACCTTTTCTAATATTATTTGGCAATCCGGAGGCTAACAACTACAATGAAGCAAATATTGCAAATAAATAAGTAACAGCTGATTAGAATGCAGAAGTTTTTCAGTCCCCATGCTTTTCTTATGGTGGATATTTTACGTTACTAGTGTCCCTGTTGCTCGAATTCGAGCAATTGCTAAGTATTACAGGCGTTATTTTAAAACAAACTTCAACCAAGTCAGCAAATATTTGTAGCAAACTGTTTTATTAGCAAACTTATTGACTGTTTACAATTAACCTATGCTCTTCTTCTCACTTTTGATTTCTGACAACAGCTGGAGTTTCATAACAATTTTTGTTTCCCATGTTAATCTGATGGAGAAATTAGAAGGGCTCCAGGGCCTCACTCTCTCGTTATTTCCCTAAAAAGAAAGTTTCCTGCACAACTTCACGCTACGCTCTTTCCAATGACACCAAAAACATGACAATCGGTTCAGTAGTTTCGGAGGAGTAATTGTCACAAAAGATCTGCTTGCGTATTAAATAATTATATAGATATCTCGTTTTCTAGTAACTCTATGGGAATTCTGCTATTTTTCCCCGAGTCCCTGGAGTCAAGACCTTTAATTTAAGACCTCTCCCACTTTTCTGCGACTTACCAGACGTCCACAATTTTCTGGTAAAAATGTTGTCTTACAGAATCCTACTAATAATATAAATGAGAAAGTTTGGACATAGATAAAACATACTCCCCCAAGTAGATTTCTCATCCTTATGCAACAGCTGAAGACAATTTTATTGTTAGTTCTGTACAGTTTATGTAGAGGTCGTGTTTTGTTTACAATTTGTTTCCAGTTATTACAGTCATTTAAAACCTTGTTTAGACAAATAATACGATCTAATCATAAAAAATAACTTGTCTCCTAGTTATATAACCAAACAGTAAAGCACTGATCAAGAAATTAAAATAATAGAAAAAAAATTTTGTCGATACTAGCGCCCAGTGTCACCGTACATGAACTAGACACGAAAAACGTGCTTTAAAATTTACAATGGGATGACAAGTCTACTTGTATTGGTTAGTCTATGGTTTGGATGTATGGATTGTATGAATGTTTGTGACAAGTAAACACAAAAAATACTGGTTGGATTGGGCCAAAATTTGGTGTGATGATAGCTCACATTCCCGATTAACATATAGACGCATTCTTATCTCAAAAGTCCTTTCGGACTCCGCTCCAGTGGCTCTGGAGTTTCCCATGTTAACCTTATGAGTATTCATATTTAAAAGGAATAAAAGTATTTTGTCAGCTGTTTAAGTTGGTTCTATGATATTAAATAGCATTAACAAGTTATAAGGTTTACCAACAGGGTGCAGTACAGTAGAGTCTCGCAAACTCGGCACTCGATAACCCGGCAGTCTGGATAACTCGGCCATCACCTGGCTCAGAAAATTAGTGATTTTTGAGTACGAGTTAAACATGGGCTCAAGTTAAATCATTCCCAACTTGTACCAAGGATTTATTGCACTATATCTGATGACTTAATACTGACTTGTAATATAAATATAAATAAATAAGGCAGCTAAAAGGATTACAAATTGTATTGTTCTTATTTATAACCCTAGTTCCCAATAACCCGACATTTCAAAAACTCGACACCCTTCCAGTCCACATTACGCCGAGTTTTCGGGACTCTACTGTACTATTAAATTTAATATAAAACTTCATTAGAGAATATTTTTTTTATTTATTTCAATGGATACTAAAGTGCAGCCGAATTTCGTTTCTAAAAGCGTTAGTGGATGTGTAACTTTTTTATACAACAAATGTAAAGATCAAAATGTTTCTATTTTGTGTCCTCTTCCCGTTGCAAAGCACGGGTACAGCAGCTAGTTTTAAATATATAGATAGTACGTCCGTGAACGCGATAACTTGAGTAATTTTTGACCGATTTTGATGAAATATGGCTTGAAGGTGTACAAAAAATGGGAATTTAGGAGAAAATCCGGTTTTGATTTAACTTAGTATGTTATAAGTTCTTAATAATTTGAAAGTTTTTTTCATTTTTTTGAAATTTTGATTTTTAATGGGGATTTTCCCATAAAACCCCATAAAATAACGGAAAATCAGATTTGCTTGAAAATGGCCCAAATGATTTTCTAAAAAATTTAGTATGGTATTGTCCTTTAAATTCTAAACAAAATGGTACAAATCCCATTTCCGTAAAAATTACGGTTCAAAAGTTAATGTAACTTATGTTATTTTCTCATAAAAACCCATAAAATAAACAAAATATCAGTTTTTTTTTTAGAAAAGCTGGTTTTGATAAAAATTAACATGTTATGGTCCTTATAATTCTCAAAAAATAGTACAACACCCCATTGCTGTAACAATTACAGTTCAAAATGTATTGCAACTTTTGTGATTTTTAGCTATAAAATATCATTTACTCTCACCACTTACCCATAATAAAGGTTGTGACAAGCTTATGGGAGAAAGCATGTGTCAGAATGCTGATACCGTTTATTTGGAATTTTCTACGTAACCATTAGGCGCATAATAACGGTTCAATATACTAAATTATTTGTTTTTTTGTCAGAAACAGTTGAAAACTTGGTAAGTTTGGCAGAAGTACTTATCACAGAAGCAAACGAAATGGATTGCAAGTAAATGTAAAAAAAACTAATATCATTAACTTTGGAAGACAAGCAAACAATAGAAACAGAAACATGCAGATAAAGAACTTAACTATAAATTGTACAGAAAGTTTCAAATATTTAGGAATAACTGTAAATAGTAGGAACTCAGAAGACGAAGACATAATAACTAAGTTATCAAATGCCAATACCTGTTGGGGAGCCTGCAAGAAGTTGATCTCATCTAAAGCATTATCTCACAGAACCAAAATGCAACTATATAAGACAATAATTCAACCTATTCTGTTATATGGTAGCGAAACATGGGAATTGTCCAAGAAAAATGAAAACCGACTCATGGTGTTTGAAAATAAAGTCCTAAGAAAAATATTTGATCCAGTGCATGAGGGACAAATATGGAGAATAAGGAAAAATGAGAGTTAAGATCACTATACACCGACCCCGATATTGTTGCAATAGTTAAAGGAAGAAGGTTAAGTTGGATAGGGCATGTGCTGAGGAGAGAGAAAGGAACAAGACTGTAGGAAGTTTGTAGAGCCACACCTGAACGTAAACGTCCATTGGGAAGGCCGAAATTGAGATGGACTGACCAAGTATTGAACGACATCAGGACAATGGGTGCAAATGTCAACTTGGCAGAAGACAGAGAAGGGTGGAAGAGGCTGGTACACGAGGCGAAGAATCAACTGAGATTTGTGGAGCCATGGCAGTAAGTAAGTAGGTCAGTAAGTATGTGTTATATTCAAAACATAATGTATAAACAGTTCACATGAAGGTTTGTAATGGTTCCTAATAAATTGCTTTTTGTTTTCTTGTTTTATTGATCAAATCCAACAAAACTTTATGGGGTAAATTACCCTGTGCCAGCTCTCGCCTTATAGAGATAGCGCGGGCACTCTAGTGTTAATGGGCTATAACAATTTATAACATGTTTAGCCTCTGGATCACATAATTTACTAATAAAAAGGTTAAATACCTGTAGTACTTGTCAGTGATCCTGGAATTTAGGTCAGTGACCCAGGTTTTGAACCTAAAGGTTCATTTTCAAGCAGATACCATAGTCAAAACACATAATCCTCTTCATAACTGAGTCATTAACGACTCTTAACAGTTATGAAGAGGATTATGCGTTTTAACTATGGTATCTGCTTGAAAATGAACCTTTAGGTTCGAAACCTAATGTTTTGGTCGCTGACCTAAATTCCAGGATCACTGACAAGTACTTTAGGTATTTAGCCTTTTTATTAACAATTTATAAATCTTCCAAATTGAAAAAATAGGCCTGTTAAATAAAATATTGGCAAGTGATCTTACACCTAAACCGATTGAATTGTGTGTTCAAATTATAATACTGTGAAATATCTGTAAGTAACTGGAGTTACCTGATATGCGTTGAGATAGGCTATAGAGTCACTCTCAGATACGTCAGCCCACAGCAGTTTATTGTTGTATGCATGCAATCTCTTTTGGAATGGTTCACTAAAGATGTTTCTCACTGACATAGCACACCCTAAAGATAAACAATAAGATATTATTCAGATGTTTAGGGATAACCAGTTGATTTCTATTGTGTACAAGTTAGGTTAATTCATCAGTGCCATTGATATCACAATTTCTTTTGAAGATTTTTCTACCTCCCTCAGTCGCTAGGATAGTTGACATCATCTTACTAGATTTATACTATGTATTTGTTGTTTTTATAATCATTCCTCATATTTTGCTGTTTTTATCCTGGATTCTAAATTCTTTGCTTTCTCATATTGTTTAAAATATTCTAAGTACAGTAAGTAAATGAAGAAAAGAAAAAAATTTATGATTCTACCTTTGAATATTTCAAGCAAAATTTTAAAATTTCAAAAATTGAGGTGATTGGATTGTTTATTGGTTCTAGAGGAACATTATCAAAATTGTTTGTGAACTTTTGGAAACAATATGATTTGGACAGATCCTTTTTGAAAATTATTATTCATGAAACATGAAGAGGTTCATTGACCAAAATGAGAAATCATCTATATGTCAAACATCAAAATTAATCAGTCTTATAGCTGTATAATCCTTCAATATTTTATGTGTACAATTTTTTCTGTGTCATTGGCAACCTTATTTTTAAGGCAGATGTATTTATTTTTATAAATAAATTCTTTTTATGTGGAGATTTTAATTTTGATTTGTTCATAAAAGGACCTGACACAGAGCATTTCAAATTCCTGGTGGAATCTTACAGCATGTTATGTTAGCCAGTATTTTAAAACCCACTATGATTACTCATGTTTCTAAAGCCTGTATTGATAACATGTTTACTAATGTAGCTTTAGACAGTTATAGAACTTAAATTATAGATACTGACATCTCTGACCACACTTATCAGATTTTATCGACAAATATAAATTATAAAATAAGTAAATAAAAACTAAACTGAGACCAAAAAGTGATGTGTTAAGAAAGAAAATGTGTTAAAATTCCAAGATTCAATTAGTAATGAAAATTGGGAATCTTTATACTGTGCTAAAATCTTTGATCCTTAACACTTCTTATAGAACATTTTTTTTTTTTTTTATATTCATGTATCATTTTGAATTGGCATTTCCCTTGGTAATTCAACAATAGATTTTAGTCTGATGACAAATCACCTGTCAATCATTGATGTAACCTGATGATAATAAATAAATAAATAAATAAAAATAAATAATGACAAAGAGCAAGGATATAACAAAAAAAAAGCTGGCTAACAAAAGGCATTATCATATCTAGTAGGAAAAAGAGGGAACTACATAAGTAAGCAAATTATCAAATGATGTCAACTTTATCCAATATGTTAAATCCTATAAACTAATTTTTAAAAAGGTTGTACAGTGTGCTAAAACGAAATGTAATAATAAAAGAATTAGCTGTGCAGATAAAAAAAATGCAGTTGCTTGGTCTATTGTCAAGGAGGAAAGAGGCAACAGGAAGCAGGATTTTAATTTTAATATAAACAGAATCTAGAAATCAAATCAAATAATAAAAGAGCCAAAAAAATTACAGACCTTTTTATTTATTTTTTCTTGCAAACCAGTGAACAGCTTAATCTAGTGGGAAATATGGATAAAGCTAATAAATATTTAAATAATGCTGGTAAAAATTGTACTTACTTCTTTGATTGGTTTTAATTAACTACCTCAAGTGTGATTATGTCCATAATCAGTGGATTGGATGGAATGGCATTCCCTCTTTTATATTAGACATTTGTAAAAACAGCATTGTTGAACCTTTGTCATACATCATCAACATTTCTATTAATAAAGGTGTATTTCTAGATTTACTGAAATATAGTATTGCTCCTCCAATACACAAAAAAGGAGATAAAACACTGCTTGAGAATTTCAGACCAATATCCTTATTGCCAGTTTTCTCCAAGGTTTATGACAAATTAATCTTTAATAGACTAGCATCATATTTTGAAACCATCAAAATTCCTTGTAGTAATGAGTTTGGATTTAAAAGGGGTTGTAACACTTCAGATGCTCTCTTTGAGGTCTTAAATTACATAGCAAGTGCCGTTGATGGATCACAGTATGCCATTGGCATCTTCTGTGATTTGTCAAGGGCATTTGATGTGATTTGTCAAGGGCATTTGACTGTGTCAATTGCAACATTTTATTGCACAAACTTAAGTTTTATTGAATTAGACAAAAAGCTTATTATTTGGTCAAACTTCAAAAATTTCACTGAAGGTGTTCCTCAGGGTTCAATAATGGGTCCGTTGTTGTTTCTTATTTATGTTGATGACCTCTTGAAACAAAATCTTAATTCAAAATAAGTAATGTATGGTAATGATATTACTGAAGTATTAAGAAATAAAAACCCTGGCATTTTTAAAATTGAAATTAAAAATGATCTTGATTTTATGACTGAATGGTTTCTGACCAAATATCTTTAACTTAACAGAAATAAAACATATTGTGTTAACTTCCATTCTAACAGCATAAAAAGTAGACAGATTGACTATAAGCTACATTAGTAAACATGTTATCAATACAGGCTTTAGAAACATGAGTAATCATAGTGGGTTTTAAAATAGTGGCTAACATGCTGTAAGATTCCACCAGGGATTTGAAATGCACTGTGTCAGGTCCTTTTTTGAACAAATCAAAATTAAAATCTCCACATAAAAAGAATTTATTTATAACCCGTTAGAAGGCATATTAAGTCAAATTAAATCTTGCAATCTTTTAGGAATAAATTTAGACTCAACTCTAACTTGGTCTGATCATATAAATCAATTGAAATCAAAGCTTAATGCAGCATTTCACGTTACTTTAGTGCTTTCTAAAATAATAGATGAAACAACTCAGATAATGGTATACTTTGCATACATGCACTTTAACATTGGCTATGGTATTGAGTTCTGGGGAAATGCCACAGATAGTAAAAAAAATGTAATAAACAAAAGAGAATTATAAGAGTTATCGCACAAGTTAGTCCAAGGACATCTTGTAGAAATTTGTTTAAAATAATGAATATTTTAACCATGCCCTCTTTGTATATATTCAAAACTTTAAACTTTGTCAAAAAAATTTAAATTTTTGAAAAAAAAAATATTTAACTCCCAATACAGCTTTAGGCCCTTGAGCTCTGTGTTGCAGAACCCCATACATAAATCTGCAGCTTATGAAAAGAGTACTTTATATAGGTATCAAACTATATAATAAGCTTCCTTTATTACTAAAAGAGGTGGAATCATTTCAAAAGTTCCGGTTACACTTACCATCTTACCTGTTAAACAATTGTTTTTACAGCATTGGGGATTTTTTATCAGTATTGTAGTAGACATAACTTATTAGCATTGATATAACTTATTATTTGTAAATTTTGCTAATAACCTAATTTATTTTATACAGTACTTGTTGCTTTTATTCTATACTAGTACACAATGTATATTTTGACAATTTGCCTGCCTGCCTGCAGAAGCACTCCTTAGGCTTTATGTGATGTATTTTAATAAATAAATAAAATGATTATTTTGACACTATTTATTGTACAATGTACATTAAAATGAGTATAGATATTTGAATTTAATTGAATTATCCTTGTAAGGCAAATGATAAAAACTTATTTGAGGTACGTATAAAACATTTGACATTTCTATGAAACTGATTGTGAATGATCTAAAAGAAACAAAAGGAAAATATCCTGGATTTCATTTTATGAGCATTTTTAACTATCATACAACAATCGGAAGCAAGACATGATACATATTTCAAACTATTTCTAGTTTTTATTTAATTTTAATTTTGTTTGAGTTAAGCCTCCGAAGAAATGCCAGCAAAAGAATGTAGTTCCACATTTTATGTACCATCTATAAATAGCGAAACATTAATGAAGCTACTTAATAATATGACAAGAAAGGGAGCTGGTCTGGATGGTATTAGGATTACAGATATAAAAACATGCAAATTGAATAAGTGGTCCAATTATAAAATTTATAAATTCATCTCTCACTTTCAGAAAGGCGGAAGTACCAGCAGCTCTAAAAAAACCAATAATTAGGCCTGTTTATAAGTCTGGAAGCCACTTAGATTATTCAAATTATCGCCCAATATCAATTTTGTCATCCATAAATAAAATACTAGAACGTTATGTAGCAAATTGCCTGCCAACACACTTGAAGAATAATAACATAATAAATCCCTACCAGTATGCATACCAGAAAAACAAAGGCACAGATGAACTGTTGGCAGATTTTTCAGACTTTTTAAACAGACAATTGAGCAACGGAAATCAAATTTTAGTAATTTTTATAGATTTTTCAAAGGCATTTGACACCTTAAAACATGAAAAAATTGAAGATGCAATGAACAGAGCTGGCATTAGAGGCCAAACCAAGAATTGGTTTATGAATTATTTAAGCAATAGGGAAATTATGGTCAAAATAAATAACTCGTATAGTAATTCTGAAAAACTGATCCAAGGGGTTCCCCAGGGAAGTATATTAGGGCCACACTTATACTTACTTTATGTAAATGAAATGCCAGAGATAATACAAAAAAGTCGGATATACATGTATGCTGATGATACAGTACTGGTGACGTCGAACAAAAATTTTGAAGATGCAGTCAGAGATATACAATCAGATTTTTTAGAAATAACAAAATGGTGCCATGACAATGGATTAAGCATAAATTGTAAGAAATCTAAAATAATGCATATGCACTCCCCCTATTATGATTGTAAAAAACCTACAGTTATAACACATACACAAAATTGTCTACACAGTAAAACATACTTAAAAGAAAAATGTGAATGTCAAGCATTGGAAGCAGTCAACAGCTTTAAATATCTAAGAATAATTGTAGATCATATTTTAAAATGGGATGCTAATATACCATATTTAAAAGAAAAACTTCGAGCATGTGCCTCAAAACTGTACCACTTACGAGATTTCTTACCATATAAGACATTAAAAGTTATTTATGCATCTATGTGCGAGTCACTTCTTAGATATGGATTAAGATCATGGGGAAATGCCTC